AGAGATCATTTTCCAAATTGAAAATCATCAAAACTTATCTTCGAAGTTCAATGGGCCAGGAGCGTTTGAGTTGCTTGAGAATTCTGTCCATCGAACATAAAATTGCAAATCGTTTGAGAAGTAACCTCGATCAAATTATTCGCAAGTTCGCTGATGCCAAAGTAAGGCGTATTAAATTCTGAATGAGTATATCGTAACGTCAGAAACTCGAAAATTTTACATTTTATTCACTGTTTTTAATTTTGGTAGTGTACCATGAGAATAAAAATTTTTACAGAAATTACTTAACATTTTTTTTAACGTTATTGTATCCATCCTTTGAATAAATCCTTTTAAAACTCCAAGCAAACAATATTATTGTGTGTGTGTATGGAAAGGGGGGGGGTTGAAATGATGTAAAAAAAATTTTTGGTAAGGGCCCCCTTGTGAAAAATTGTCCGGGGCCTCCACTTCTATAGTTACGCCACTGGCTTAAACTGTACAATTTCTACCCCAATTATATATAGATAGAACAATATGCATCTTTTATACTTAAAACAAGACTAACCTGAATAAAAAAAGAAAATGCAGATAGAACACTATAATTCTCAGGTGACGAGATGTCAAAATTTTAACAAATAAAATTGGCTTTAAATTCTGTTTTGTGTTCGTCGTAGATAAAGTATAGTATGCAACTAGTTTATAAACTTCTCTGGACACTCGTTTTTATTAAACACTCGCTCGCAAGCTTCGCTCGTGCTTAATTAAACTCGTAACTAAAATGGCGTTTATAAAACTTGATACATAATATACTATTATCATCTTGTTTACACGGTACTAAGAATTTTGACACTTTTCTTGATTTAACATTTGTTGTCATTTAAATTCTGTGTTTGATATATCAATAAAATAATGAATAAACTCTAAAAGATCGATGGGTTGGTGTAAACGATAATTAAATAAAGGTAAGTTTGAATAAATAAGGTTTATTAAAGTCTTTTTATATTTTAAAGCACATTTTAATTTTAAATGTCAATCTGACAATTTTTTAAATACTAAAATTCATTTTATTTTCTCACTAAATATAACTCCTGGTATGATTAATAATCGAAGATATTTACTCATTAAAACTGAAGCAGCACATTTCACTCGTCCTGCAGACTCGTGAAATCTGCAGCTCGGTTTCAATTCGAAAATATCATCAATGATAATCATACCACTTGTTATATTATGGGTGAATATAAATAAATCTTTAAATAGCGATAACGGACCGGTACCCAACTTTAGTTTGTATAATATAGTTTGTTTGTAGTTTCTCTTTACGTGTTTACTGAAGCGGTTACGGTCCACGGTTTAGTAAACTGTGTCCGTTTACGGTTTAGTCAACCTTAGCTTATAATTATAAATATGGTAGATTTAGCATTTAGATTTAGTTACACTTCGCTTCTGAAGATGCCAACATCGTTGGCGAAAAGTACTTTAAGCACTTTTGTTTTGTTTTTGGGGAATATTTCCAATATTTGTTTAACATATCACCAAAATTGTCCTTTTTAGTATTTGGAATAACACATAATATTTTTGTATCATACTGTTGCCATGAAAAATGCACAGTGCTTATTATGGTATACAAAAAAATTATATTATCTATATTGTAACTTGTGACATTTATCGGCTAAATGTTTTATTGTTATAGAACTATAATATAATGTTTATCTCATTGATATAATATAACACATTAAAAGTCAATGTTCACGGAAAGAAATTTTGAATACAATTAATCCGCTAAGGTAGTATTACAATCAAATTTTTGATCAATATAGCGCCAATCCAAAATTAGACTAATATCAATAATTCATTCGATTAAATTACTTGCTATGCTTAAATGTATCAAACCGTGATAAATAGCAGCAAATTAGTTTTATAAATCACAACAAAATTTGGAATAATAATAGTAAAAATTAAATTAAATTGGTCCACGATATTCTAGAATTTAAATAATATTTTCTTTAATTTACCAATTTTTGGATTCAATTAAGCTTTTTTAGGTCAGTTTAATCTATTTTTTAAGTTGTAGTTATCAAAAATTTGGCAAAATTAAGAATAATTAGGATAAAGTTTATCAGATCATTTGATTGATTTGTGCAAAATAGTTAGTAAAAAATATATTAAATTTATCAATTTTTTTATTATTTTAATCTAATAATTAAATAAAACTTGTTTGATGTGGTAATTATTTTATTCAACATTTGATTATTGACTGGAATATTGATTTTCGTAATAATCTGTGATAGTGGGGTAGGTAAAGTATACTAAATTTTTTGTCTATAAATACTTATTTATTTCAGTTTACAAACTTTCATAAAAAAAGAACTAATATAATAATAATTTATAAGTAGGTACAAAATACAAAAAATAATAATGGTTTAACAATTGCTTTTTATGTTTAATTGACTAATATAATGTATAAGTTTTAAAATATTTGCGTTTAATTTAAAACTTAAAAAACAACATTTTAAATTTAATTTAACGGCGGCAAATATATCAAAGATGATGGCCGGAGATATCTCACGTGGTGCGCACAACAGTCCCTATTTCGTTCGCATTCCAAAGAAATCGACGTCCACTTGACAGTCAAAATGCTCTGTAAAAATGAGGGTAGAAACATACCTATAAAAAATGGTTTATTTGTTACTTACCTTTAATATTCTCAATAATAACGATGGTTTAAACAAACTAAAACCGGACACGTACTCACACGATCGTTTACAACTCACTACACGCGAAGAGCAACTGCAAACTAAGACGCGTTAAAAACTAAAAATTGGCATGTTTGCTAAATTTGCTCCTTATATTACGGATTTGGTCAAGATAATAGCTTGATTTTAGCGGACTTTTATTAATTCAATCAAATATTGGATAGTCGTATCAAAAATTGGATAGAATTAGTCTTATATTTGATTAATGTTAGTACATAATTTATAGGTCTTTTTCTAATATTCAGTAAATTTTTTAAATAATTTATTCCACACAGGATTATTTTAATTTAGCATGTAGAGATATTAAGCAAATATTTTATTGATTTTATTCCAAATGTAGAGGGTGTTTTCGTATACGTATATATAAATGGGACACCCCTCTAAAATCTTTATTTGAAGATAATATAATATATTATATTATATTATATTATATTATATTATATTAAAAAATCCAGCTTCAAGGGCTACAAAAGTAATTTTTTTGACAAAAATTACAAAACAAAAAAGCATCGGTAAAATAGATACCTATAACATTGTTTTTCTGAAGAAAAAACTATTTAAAAATATACATGGTGTTTCATTGAAAAAAAACAATGTCAATGCTATTTTATTAAATTTACCGATTTTTGTAAAAAAAATTACCCTTTTAAACCATGCAAGCTGGATTTTAAATTTTTTTGATATTTCTTTAAATAAAGATTTTATAGGGGTGTCCCATTTATAAGAAAAGACCCTTATACTAGTAAAAATAAAGTTAAATCCATTTAGTTTTATTTATATAATATTTGATAAAATTAATCCAAATTGGAATATAATAATAAAATCCAAGAGTTGATCTGAGTATCTTTCCTAAGAAAATTAAGCTTAACGTTACATAAAGCCAATGTTAATGTTTGATTGGTTTAAGAAAAACTTTTTCTGTGACCAATCTAAAATTTTACTGTTCCTAGAAAAAAATTTATTAAATGTAGCACTTAAACGATTATGTCTATCTAGTGATGTTAATTTTAATATGATGATATTAATCATTTGCGAAATGTACAGATTTATCGTAAAACACTAAGATTTGTCAGTTTTTTTCTTTATTTATTCTATTTTAGATTAAACTAATTTATTTAGGATAATTTTTGACTTTTCTTAAATTAATAAATGGATTTGATTAATTTTATCATAACATTTCTTTCCGTGTTTGCTCTCTTAAAATAAAATAGTTAAAATTCTACTATTTGAATTAGTACCAGCATTTTTTACTAATAAAATAGTCGTTTTCACTTTTAAATAGTTATTTTTTACTACGTAAATAGTTAAAGTTTGACAAATTTAAGATTGGTCACCATCTTCGACTATTTCTAAGAGTTAAAAGTAACTAATTTCTTTAATCGTTTGCGGCCAACAACAAAGTATTATTTGAATTAAATGCATATACGCTTCATGGTTAAATGGCCCATAAAAACAAAGATGCAAAAAGTTTAGCTCAAAACAGTGACACAAATAATGTATTCAACTTTAAAATATTATAAACAATATTTATTGACAAATAAAATTGATTTTTATAAGAGTGACTGATAGCCACATTGGTTATGACAACAGCTTGACAAGCTTGACAAGCGACAGACTTGAGTTCAATCCTCGGCTGGGTCAAAACTTTTTTAAATTTTTACTAATTTGGTTATTTCATTCAGTAGAATTCAATTATTAGTGACTGCTTTTTCGCTATGATTATAATTAGTTATTTTTGACTAATTTATTTTAAGAGAGCATTTCACAATTTTTTATTTGACGTTTAAATACCTATGTTGCTATGAGGTATAAATTATGACAGTTAAGCTAATGGTAAAAGCTTGTAAAAAGTGTACCACCCAGAGTAAACACCCAGACCTGCATTTTGCAAAATCTAAAGACGACCATTGCCAGATGTGGCCAACCACCCGTTTGAATTTATTTAAAAGGGTGGTTGGCCACATTGATTAATTTCTTCGCCAATGTAAACCAAAACCTAATTTTAAAGGTATAAAACAAATTTTAAAGGTAGCAACAGAGGCTTTAACAAAAAATATGTCAGTATACTTTTAATTATAAATTATAATTTATAATTAAAAGTATACTGACATATTTTTTGTTAAAGCCTCTGTTGCTACCTTTAAAATTTGTTTTATACCTTTAAAATTAGGTTTTGGTTTACATTGGCGAAGAAATTAATCAATGTGGCCATCCACCCTTTTAATAATAATAATAATAATAATAATTATTATTTTATATGTGTAGATATACATTGGATATTTTTAAAAAATCATGGAGAAAGGAGATCAAAGAAGAAGATTTATATCGAGTATATAAAAAATTTAATTCCAAATCTTGTGGAGATTATTTTGAAAGACAATGGAACTTTGAGAAGATGCGAGAATCAAAACCGTCAGTCATTTATTTGCTATGGAGAACACACCGATTACGATACTGTATTTGCATTTTAATGCATCTTATATGGAAAACCACCAGAAGGTACTAATAACACTGTATTAACTGCTAACTCTTGTTGAAAGACCACTTTAAAAATATGACCAAGTATTCTTTAAACTTTTCTAAAACAGTTTATAAACTTTATAAGCTGCATAATAGAGTAATAAAATAAGCGTTGATTTAAAATTTTGCCATCTTAATTTTAGCTTTGTTGAACCAACAGCGATGATGAACCTTATTGTGTATTTCAAAGAAGACCAAACACAATTTCAAACGTCGGATGCTTTATATTACGCGTTCTTAATTTTGCTTATTTATCTCATGGATTTTGTTATTTCACACAATGTGTATTTATTTCTGCGAGAAATAGGAGTTCAAATAAGAAACAGTCTGTCATCTTTTATCTATAGAAAAACTTTAAAATTAAGAAGTGACGTATTGGATAGTCAAAACATTGGCAATATTGTTACTTTAATAACAAAAGACGTTAATTTTATTGAATTGCCATTATCACATATACATGAGTTGTTTACTGGATTTATTCAAATTTTTATTATATGTTTTATGATCTATAATAAATTGGGGGTCAACTCAGTATTTGGCCTTTTTGTGTTTTTGTTTACAATATGTATTGAATGTAAGTTAATTTACCAGTAGAAAGTTATTTTCTAAGAACATATCGTCGTGGTACATTTAATAGGTCGTATGTCAACAAAATACGGTTAATATTTTCACACATGGCCACCAAATTACTTGTGGCGCTGCTAGTTTAATGCAAATTTAATTAAAAAATTGTCTCTTCTGAAAAGTTTTTAATTTTAACAATTCTGACCTGTTACATTACAATGGAGTATAAATTTTTCAAATGACCCTACGAATTTGACGTTGAAATAAAAATTAAAAATAAGTTAGTATTGGAAAAAAATATTCTCAAGTCTCGTTATAAAAACTTTTAAGAAAAATTCATTTGTTTTTTAACAATGTGCGATTGAACATTGTTGCAACCTTGATTAAAAAATCAATATCTCGTAAATTATTTAAAAAAAAATGGTCCTAATTTATATTATTTTTGTAATAAACAAATGCCGATTTTTTTCTGAATCTCCACAGTGAGTAATACAAAGGAATTTTAAATTATTTTAAAATACTGGGAAGTCTAAACGCTTAAGATTTAAAAAATGTTTCAAATTTTTTGTGCTCGCCCTTTGGGTTAGTGCGTTTGATTTTAAATAACTAAGAACCCGGGGTATAAAATCTCAATCTCAATTACGTGTTGTTTGTGCTAAACCTGAAGGATAAACCAGTATATTTTTGCCGCTACCAATTCAATCAAATTAAAATATTGAATAAAAAAAACTTGTGTTAAAATTTAATAGAGATTTTAAAATGTAGTTTATGATGGTATGGTACCTATGATGGCATACTTTTAGTTACTCTGAAAATAGCAGAGTTGGTATACCTGCGCAAAATTTATGCAGTTGGCAGTGACGGGTATCAAGAGGTAATAAAAAGTTAAACTACATTTTTGGAATGTTATTTATTTAACATAGTTTGCATGCGTGTTTATGCTGTTGATATTAATCAACAGCATAAACAGTGTTTTATTAAACACGCCATTAGGCCATGTGTAGATGAATTTATTTTGAGGTTAACTTATAATATAATCGAAATCTGTGACTAATGACAGAGGTTACCTGTTTCCTATTATGACATACATATGTATATATATATATATACGAGGTGTGTTCAGAAAATAACGGGAATTGTTAAATTTCGCGGGTTCAGAGGGTCCGGTTGTCATAAAATTTTCTTTATTATGTTGGTATACATGCCCCCGAAGTATGATAAAAACTTTAGCTGTTTTCATTGTTTACTTTGTCTGTGGCAGCCGCTAAGGTTAGAGGTGTTTTATGAGGTCGACGATTTTTCGTTCGTTAAAAAAAATGGATCAAAGAATTTGTATCCAATTTTGCTTAAAAAATTAAATAAATTCTGTGAAATGTTAACAAAGGCCTATAGTGAGTCTGCTATAATCAAAACAAGAGTTTACAAGTGGTATAAGAGTTTCCAAGATGGCCGTGAAGACGTTGAAGATGACGAACGCCCCGAACGTACAAGCACATTAACAACCGATAAAAACATGGAAAAAGTGGATGAAATGGTTATAAACCATCAGAGAAGTCGCTGATGATGTTGGTATATCGATTGGCTCATCCCATGAAATTTTTTAGAATGTTTTGGGTATGAAACGCGTGGCAGCAAAATTTGTTCTAAAATTGTTAAATTTTGAACAAAATTTTTGGCCAAAAACAATACTGTAATGATGCCCCAGCCTCCATATTCGCCAGACATGCCTCTGTCTGACTTTTTCCTATTCCCAAAAATAAAGAGAACCTTAATGGGCCGTCGTTTTGCAAGCATAGATGACATTAAAAGCGCATCGCTGAAAGAACCAAAGGCTATCCCAAAGATCGAGTTTTAGAAGTGTTTTGAATATTGGAAGAAGAGCTGGCACATGTGCATAATATCCAATGGGGACTATTTTGAAGGCGATAACATTAATGTAGACGAATAAATAAATATTTGTTGACGAAAATTCCCGATATTTTCTGAACACACCTCGTATATATATTTTTTTCTTTTTGCACAGAAGTTTAGTTTTTTTGTTTATTATATTTTCTATAAAAAACGTTTTCTATATTAATATTAGATTCTAGTAAGGTATGCTATCGAAGGAAACGCCTATGATGGCATATTCGTGCTATTAATCTGATATCCATTTAAAAAGGAAGCAGGGATAACTTAGGTTTTGTGAAGCTATAATAAACAGTTATGATCTACAGAACGTTTACACACATAAATTCTCACCTAGATTTACTCATAAAGGTATCCCGGGTATCAAAGTTAAGTATTCCATCACTACTACTTTCCCCTACATGAACTAGTTTCTCGGGTGTACTGGGTCTGGAAGGGACTTAACGAAAACTGAACTTCAAAATTGCTTTTAGTTCAAGCAGTAACACACTTCAGACCCTTTTAGGCAATCCCAAAGATAAGATTTCTAAAATTGAAAAGTCGGGAATCTAGGAAATAAACTGTTTATTGTGACAATACATTTGTTGGACAAACTAAACGCAACCCAACTCTAGTTTGTATAAATTAGTTTGTTAGTTTCTCTTACGGTTACGGTCCACGGTTTAGTAAACTGTGTCCGTTCACGGTTCAGTCAACCTTAGCTTATAATTAGTATAAATATGGTATGGTTAAGTTCTTTGTGTTTTGTTATGGTATTGGGGAATATTTCTAATATTTGTTTAACATATCACCAAAGTTGTCCAAGAATATCTTTATTAGTTTTTTTAATGAATTATGTCCACTTTTTGACATTATTAACAAATGAATCTTTCTTAAAAACTTTGTAAACTTGACTTGATATTAATGTGTAGAATTTTTTCAATATTTAGTTTTAATTTTCTATTCAAAGTGATTTGGAAAATTTCTACTCAAAAACGATATCAAAATGTTAATCCTTTCTGAGAAAATATATGGGTGATTCTACAACAGTTGGACAACTTGATGTCATTAGTCAATAGAGTAGGTATTTTAATATTTTTTGTAAATATTTTAGTATATTACAAAGATAACGTTTTTTTAACTTGTCCACCCAATATTAATGTGTTTTTTCAAAAGCACGTTTGTAGAAAAACATAATAAATATTGAAAACATCAGTACCTTGGCGTGTCACACCTCCTGAATCAAATATTTAAGTGATTTTATTTTAAAATATATTCAATTTATCTTAAATTTTTCAATTTCACTACAAACTATATAATATTAAATAATGTATTTTTCATATTTTATCATAGATTCGAATAATAGCAATTTTTAAAAAATTGATACTTTGTACTTACTTTTACCCGTCAGTTAAAATTCAAAATTAAACGTCAAGTCCTCGTTTTAACTCAAGTGTTGGTAAAAAATTACCTACAGAGCCCGCCTTTTGCACGACAGTTATCTTGAAAACAATGCAAGCGGCGAAGTTGTGGTCAATGCACGTATAGTTCCAGTCAAAATTTCAGTACTGGGGTGAGTAGTTATTTTCTTACATTTATATATTTCATTGTTATTTATATAAGGATATATGTGATTTGTTGAAAAGTAGCATCCACTAATACAAAATATCAATAAAATACCTAATTCCGAGTTATAATCTCAAATTTGTATCCAATTCATCAGTACTGTGTCGTCAGTTCCATGTTCGATGTTTCGGTTATCTTTTTTTCGCAAACTTCAATTTAAATTCTGCTTGCGCAGAACTTGTTTATTTAATTTCATTATAAACTAATATAAATTTGGTGTGGGTCCCATATCTAATAACTGAGATATCTTATAGCCAAAATCCACCAGCCGCCACTGATATGTGGTATTATTTGATTTTACGATATTTAATGTATAATATGCTCAAAATTGCAATAAATCTTATATTTTCCAAAAAATTATGTATTTAATTAGTACCCTGGTATACTCGTCACTTCCCTTGCATTCAAATTTAGAAAACACATATATTTCAGAAACTGTTTGAAAAAGTGACTGGCCCGGTCTGGAACAGTATATTTATTATATTATCTGTGTTCTCATAACAAAATACTGTTTAATTTTCTCCGAAAACTATATAAACAAAATGAGGTCAAAAGTTGCCCAACTTTTGGAGAATCACCCATAAATATTTAGTTTTTCTTAAAATTCTTCTAAAATAAAAAAATAACCAAAGGAAATACATTATTTTAAGAATTTTTTTACTATGTTATACCGGGGCAATATTCTTCCTGATTTTGTACACTACAAAAAATCATTTTATTTATTAAGTCAGGTTTTTTGTGTAATTTAACTTTTAATTTAAATACACAAAAAAGTTTTTTTATAAATTAAATAATACTGATACTGATTTCCTTAAAATCATGTCTGTTGCTTGCTTCAATTAATTTAAAATTTAATTACGTAATACCTTCTAGACTACATGACCAAACAAAAATGGTCACCCGGTATAATATTTTAAACAAAAATACAATATTTGTATTTTTATAAGGACTTTTTAATTAAAATAACATTTTACATCCGCTGGTGAAGTACTGCCACTAAAACCTAACTAATAAATAATCGTATCGTAAATTTAGTTTTAGTGGGTCTTTTTATAGCCAAATTAAGATTAAAGGTAGACGTAATGTCTAGCGTAAGACTCCAAAGAACTAAGGAAGCATTTTCCGATATTAAAATTATAAAAATGAACACCTGGGAAAACTACTTTAATGATAGAATATCAGAAGCAAGGAGGTATTATTTAAAATTCTTTTTTTAGGATTATTATAATAATCTCTACAAATATTTTTAGAAAAGAAGTCAATATCTTATTCAAAGAAACATTTTTAAAACTTTTTGCAAGCGTCCTAGGAACACTAGCAAGTCCTCTTTCAATATATGTTCTTATAATGACACATGTTTGGTTTGGACGCCCCATCACAGCTGAAATATTTTTCTTTATTTTAAGTTGCTTTAGACAGATAAAAATTCTTTTATCCAGACATTTACCCAAAGGTATCGGGTATGCTGGGGAAATATATGGAGCAATGATAAGAATTACGAAATTTCTCCATGAACTCGATCTGCAAAATAAACAAGAAATATTTTCTGACAAGTCTATAATTTTTATGAAAAATGTATATCTTAAAATCAATAATTTGCAAGTTCTCAACAATGTTTCACTGAACATAAGTAGTGGCCTAACATGTATAACAGGTAAGTTTTTTTTATTAAATTATCTAATATTGGTACATTGTTTCTAATTTCACTATTTTAGGACCCATGGGGTCAGGTAAATCAGTACTATTAAAAACAATCCTTAACGATTTTCCTGCCTATACAGGAAATATTTACATAGCCGGTCAAGTTTCTTATGTTTCTCAAGAACCTTGGATTTTTCCATCTACAATAAAACAAAACATATTATTTGGAAACCCTTACAATAAGTTTTTATACGAGGAAGTATTGCGTGTGTGTGCTTTAGATTACGATTTGAATTTAATGGAAACAGGAGATAAAACTATGGTTTTGGAAAAGGGGGGAAATTTAAGTAAAGGACAGCAAATAAGGATTAATTTAGCGAGAGCTCTTTATAGAGAAAGCGATATTTATTTACTGGATGATTGTTTTTCTTCTTTGGATGTAGAAGTTGGCGAACAAGTATTTTATAATGCTGTGCAGTGTTTTCTGAAAAATAAAGTTTGTGTTTATGTAACCCAAAATTTACAACATTTAAATAGTTCTAACGTTATTATTGAAATACGGGATGGAACAATTATGAATATTACAAATTCAGACAAGGCCAAATTAATAAACAATGATCATAATAATACAGAAGTTATAAATAGAGATAAAATATTTAATACAAATATATTTGAAATAAACGAAGAAAACATCTCTGAAACCTCAAAAATAATGGAAAAACCTTCTACACAAGGAGTTTATTTTGAAAAAATAAATACTAATAATATTCCTCTAAGGACTTATTGGGATTACCTAAAATTTGGCAGGGGTGTGACAGTTTTTTCTATCATTATTTTAGTTTTTATATTGGCACAAGCTTCTCTTAATTTTAATGATAAATTATTAAGCAACTGGGTGGATTTAGAACAAAAGTTAATATTACTTAAAAATAATACAACTACAGAAGAATATACAAATGCTTTAAAATCTAAAAACTTTTATTTAATATTGTATTCAACATGTACAGCTATTTCTGTATCATTGCTCTTAATAAGAATACTAAGTTTTTTCGATTTTACCCGAGTCGTATCTTTAAAACTGTCTGAAATCACTACAAAAAATCTACTTCATGCCAAAATAAGTTTTTTTGATTCGCGTTCACTGGCAAATATTTTAAACAGATTTTCATTGGATTTCCATAACATTGATGAAATTCTTCCAAATTCTGCTAATGAATGTTTTCTGGTAAGAAAAATATAAATTTATTCTTAAAGTATCGGATGGTCATAATGATGAGCGGTTTTGACAAATTATAATAAAAAAAGATTTTTTCATATTAACGGAAACATTTGAAAAACTATTTACATATATAGTTTTAAAGATCTGAATAATGTGGTTTATATGTATAATCATGGCTGGTTTTCCTTATAAATCCGAGCTTTAAAGTTTTATTTAAAGTCAGAAGAAGTCAAGTTAGAACTACTAGGACCACGCCAAATGAGTTTTCTGCAAAAACATTTTGTTTTCGACAGACAAGGATTTGTTAGGATCGTGACATGTTCGCCATTTTATTAAAATCATGATCTGTTGTAGGCTTTAAAATTTTGCAATTCCGGGAAAAAAACAATGTAACCTTATTGTGTACTAGTCGGAACTTAAGCTATAGCTTATAACTATAGTTAATGTTATAGTTTCCCGTCGCGCAAATAGCACTGGTTGACAGGCAAAATGTACAGGGTGATCCCCTATAATGTCACCCCCTTTAACCTTTTTATTTTAAGTGCCCCAAAAAATTTAAAAGTGTGGTTATGTAGGTACTAAAAAATACTTTTCTCGATTTTTATGTAAGAATGTCATATTCTCGCACGCAAAATCGTTGAAGAATGAAGCTCATTCTTAAACGATTTTTGGTAACATTTAGTTTTTAAGTATTGGTACCCCCAAAATGTCAAACTGTTTAATAACCTCAAATTCATTACTTTTAGGAATATTTATAATAGCTTTGTTTGTTATCCTGCACTAGTGCAACCTGAACTACACTTTTATTGAAAATGAAGCCTTTATTATTGTTTTGTTATATTATTGTTTATGTGAAAAAGTGCAGTTCAGTTGTACTTGTGCAGGATAACAAATATTGACAAATAAATTTATTTAATTAATGAGCCAAACAGGTCAATCAAACTATATATTATTGAAAATATTATATACCCACAGTACACAAAACACAAAACTACTATAAATTAATCACTAGCACAATTGTTATAAACTTTTATTGTAATGTTCAGTGTTGCTTGTAAAACCTCCTGTGACATTTTTCACTGCTAAAAGTAAACACAATTGTTCAAAAATATCAGAAAACATTAAAAAATAATACAATACTTACACAAAACCTTATTATCCAGTTGACAAATACAGACAGATTATTAATAAATAGTAAATAAACATAAATCTACCTGTCCATGCAACTGTCATTTTGTGTTGCCAACTGACATTTTGCGAGAAAAATCCCCCAACTAACAACGACCACAAAACATTTAAAAAAACCTAAATAAAAGTTAAAATCGAGAAAATAGTATAAATCACACGTTGCAGAAGGCTATTATCGCACTCATTCGTTCGTCCACTCGCTCCTTCGTCGCTCGAGGCCAAATTTCGAATTCGTGCGAGAATATGTGGCCTTCTGCAACTTGTACTTTAATATACTATTTTCTATGTATACAAAAAAATTGAAAATTGATTAATATACAGGGAAAAATAAAAAGTTTATTTTTTTCAATGGATCACCCTATATATAAATTTATTTTTAGATTTCTTGTAAAATTCTGTGCATAATTCATATAACATTCGAAATGTTATCATTATACGTTTTTTTAAACTGTTAGAAATCAAGAAGCCTCAGTATACCATTTTTATTAAAAATAAATTACTATAGTGACATTATGTCAATATGTCTTGTTAAATAAGTAAAAATGGCGTACTCAGACAGAGAAAGACAAACAAGTGTCAACTTATTATCTAAAAAATAATTTAATTATTTGAGAAACGGTTGAATTTAGGTATATGGTATGTTATATGAAATATGCTTAGAATTTTTAGGAATAGAAAGATAAATACATATATAGGGTGAACCATTGAAAAAAAAATAAACTTTTTGTTTTTCCCTGTATATTAATCAATTTTTCAATTTTTTTGTATACATAGAAAAAAGTTTTTTTTAGTACCTGCAACAAACTTTTTGTTTTTCCCTGTATACTGAACAATTTTCCAATTTTCTTTATAAGTAGAAAAAAAGTATTTTTAGTACCTGCATAACCAAACTCTTAAATTTTTTGGGACACTTAAAATAAAAAAGTTAAAGGGGGGCGACATTATAGGGGATCACCCTGTACATTTAACAACAATCCAGATTGTGCATTTAACGAAGTTTTTTTTTCCAATGTATTTAGGCCTTCAATTCAATTATTATTTTTTACAGTTGTCTTTTAAATCCACTTTTATAATTTAGGTCATATATCGAGTTAAAAAAGGCCAATCTGCAAGGTTAGTTAAAGCATAATCGAATCGCCGATAATCGAATCGCCGACCAATATCACTCTATTAATGCACAATCAGTTGAGTAGTTTAAGTGCAATGGGCTCTAATATAAGAATGCAACATTTACCTTTTCGCTAAAAACGAATAAACATTATCGAAATATGATCATTTTTAAATTATTTCCGATGAGTTCACACTGTTGGAAAGAAAACAAAACATAAAATCTATAGATAAATGACAACGGTATTACCATTTATGATTATGAGTATAAGAGACGTATAACCGGCCCCATTGCCTCATCGCTCCCGGGCCCCGCACAGGCCTCTGTTTCCTTACGCCGATTTTCTCTCGCCACCAGCAACGGCACGACTTCATCCGTATTTGCTGGGCGCAAATGTCCATTGCGTCCCGTACTGTCCCCTATTTAAGGCTTGAGATCGAAATGCCAATAGTTTAAATAGCCTTTCCCAGATTCGCCGGGCCGTTGCTATACGCCCAGTAGGGTCATGAAGGAGGTAGGACGGGAGGGATAGACATTTTGGTGTTTGGACGAAACTACCGATAGTTATCGATAGTTTTTGTTGTTTTTTTTTAAATATTTATTACCGTGCGGTACTACTTCAAATAATAGTATACTGTAGTTTCAGGAATAGTTTTTTTGTTGATAAATTAATTACAGGTGTGGTGTTAATGTAGTTAATATGCCAATTTATTAGGTCACATATATTTTATTTATTATGTCCCTGAGAATCAATTTATTGCAGACTATCAAAAAGATAAAACTATTTCTAATAAACTGCCATCATATAAATACTACAATAAAATATACGAAATCTATTCTTTAAGCTATGAATAAGGGTCCAAAAATGGTATGAAAGGTAAGTGTTGAATCATTTTAATTTTTCACCCACTGAGTTAACAGAAACAGTATTGTCAACCTAAGAAAATAGCATATTGGTAACAGCGACATCACACTGTGACATTCATAATTTGAACTAACAAAACTTTAGTAATTAATAAATAAACAACATCAAACTATTTTCTCCAAACGTATTGTAATTTAATTAAATGGTACTATAATATACGTAGGTTTAAAAAGTTGAATTTGGTCATATCTTTGTCAATTTTCCATAGATCTTTTTAAATACCTGTGTTTACATTTTGGTGAATTTTAAAGTGGATCAATTTTTGTGGTTTACATTAGTATGATTTATATTGTAGTGTAAAATAATCTATTACTAACGTGTTTAACATAAAAACACCTGTGAAAATTCTAAAATTAAAAACAAGAGCCGCCATTGGAGTATTCTGACCATAATGTAAAAGTTTCTAAGAAAACCGATTCAGTGTGCATAATAAGCACACTACTTGGTAAAATTTTCATAAGCTTTCACGCTATATTTGTGGCTTGTTTAATTGAAATCATTTTGTTTTAATTTTCAACCAGAAGTTTAATATATTACACGCTGGGAAAGCCCTTTCAGGTGCCCGCAGTTTTTTAATAGCCTTGGCCGAAGTAAACTTTCGCATCTGTTAATGTAAATAACTATCACAAAAACCACGCTGTACCCTGGTAAAACTTTTATTTAAACTTAAATTCCAATAATAACTACTGCTATCCCGGCCATGCGCGTTATCATTCCACACAACGTTTACAAGTAATTATAAATTGAAAACTCCTCATCTTTATAAACTAACCGAAAATGCAGAGTATCCAAAAAGGGTGTGAGTACTTTGTGTGTTCATTGCAATAGTGCCATTTACTTTTTTCGTTTACCAGAACAATAATTTTATCATAAGAGCAGCTCTCTGTATTGCGCTCATTACAAAATAAAGTGCTTATATCCTTTTGGACAAACTGTATATAACATTTTAAAAATTGATGTTTTTGTTAAATAATTCTAATTAAATATTTATTTTAGACGGTTATAAGTGTATTTGGTGCAATAGTTCTCATAATTGTTGTTAATTGGTTACTTATAATACCTATTTTAATGATATCCTTAATATGTTATTTCATAAATATAATAGGGTTTCCATCTGGAAGAAAATATATACGATTAGAGGCATCTAGTAAGTGTATAACATAAAAATATATATTTCTATTAATTGTACTTTGTTTTAGCAAAATGTTCTGTGGTTGGACATCTGAATGCTACTTTAGAAGATTTGGTTACTGTAAGATCATATCGTAACCAAGATATATTAATCAAGGAGTTTGATAGTTATTTGGATAAGTTTACGTCAGCTCATCACACGGCATTTTTGCTGATTAGATCCATTGGTTTCTTTATTGATGTTTTAATTTTACTGTTGATTTTCTGTATTATAGCATTTTTTCTATTATATAGAGAAGGTCAGTTCTATATTTAATATATATTGATATAATTACAATTATCTTATAATAGGTGTCACAGCTGGTAATGTTGGTTTAGCCATAACGCAAATATTTATGTTAAGTGGACAAGTTCAATGGGGATTAAGAACATGGATTGTAATAAAACTGTACATGACCTCCACAGAAAGAATTCTTGAATACACTAACGTCGAGCAGGAAAGAACAGATGAAAATATTCAAGTAAAAATGCCTGTTGTTTTGGATGCAATTAAATTTATAAATGTTAATCTTTTATACCCCAATAAACTAAACTATGCTTTAAAAAATGTTACCTTCGAAATTAAACCCAGAGAAAAAGTAGGTATTGTAGGAAGAACTGGATCAGGAAAATCATCGTTAATATCTGTATTATTTAAACTTTATGATGTTAAAGGAAAAGTTTTAATTAGTAATACGGATATAAAAACAATACCTTTAGAAATCTTAAGACAAAATATAGCCATTGTTCCGCAAAATCCGGTACTGTTTTCTGGATCAGTTAAAAACAATATAGACCCGTTAAATGAATACAACGATGAGACAATTTGGTCGGTATTAGAGAAATTTAAAGTTAAACATTTAATAGAAGATTTACACACACCTTTGGTGGGAAATGGAAAAAATTTAACCATAGGTCAAAAACAATTAATATGCCTTGCAAGAGCAGCAATGAGACAAAGTAAAATATTGGTAATAGATGAAGTTACAGCAAATATGGATGAAAAAACCGAAAAAGAATTAGTTAACGCAATTAATAATCATTTCGCCGATAAAACTGTTATTAGTATAGCTCACAGACTTAACACTATTTTGCATTGTGAAAAAATTATTGTACTCGATAAGGGTGAAGTTGTTGAAGTTGGTGCACCTAGTCAACTTATTCAAAATATTGATGGATATTTTTATAAGTTAGTTAAAAAAATGTCATTGTAAATCAGTATTCAATAAAAAATAAAATTGTGGTATTTCTTTTAATAGTTTGTTTAAGAACTTGACACAAAAGATATTTGATATTTGACCATAACAATTTTTAACCCCCTTTTTTTCTTAAATAATCATTACTCGTTTAATAAGCAAAATATTTAAAAATATCAAGTATCAAATTTGTAGAACTCAAGAAAATGTTAAAATAAAAAATACGGCTGTAATTCGGGGAATTTACGAATCCAAGATGGTAGAAAAGCTGCAGGGGGTTGATCAAGAAGACTAAATACTCTTAACCACAAGACATAAAATGATACCCCAAATCGCATACGCAGGGAAGCCTCGGATGCGCAAAGTATTCACCGCGCATAGCTATCATCCAATGCTGGCTGGGTAATTCATAATACATGCACTTACAGACATAGAGTGTGCGCACGAGCATTTTTCACAACCGTAGGGTACTATAGTACTATAGTACTATAGTAGTACTGTAGTACTACAGAGTACGTGTAAGTGCGTACGTTTTTTAGCGTGCCACCAATAGGTTTTTTTTTGTAATTTTGATTACGGCTAGTGCGGAAAAGTTGTCTTTGGGTACAAAACTTCTGCTTTTTTTTATTTAATAAAAATACTCAAGGGTTTCCCCAAACCCCTAAATTAAAAAAAAATGTTTTTTAAAATTTTTAAAATGGCTACTGCCAAAAAGTTTTATTACTAACCTTAGACTATCGTCATTTTTTTCGGAATTTAAAAAAAAATATATTCCTCCGGGCCCTTAAAGGTTTGTTTATTTTAAAATATTATGATTTTTGCTGCTCTTCGCTTTTTTGATGTGTTATACTCAAGCTCAGTGGCGGCTGGTGACATATTAAATGAAGGAGATAGAAATTTATATACATGCAAAAATTGGATAATAAACTTACCGATGTATGTAAGATGTGAGACCCATAAACCTATATTTAAATTAACCCAAGTAATTATATAATCTACGGTATTTATCTCATTTTTAAAAATAACAGGAAACAATAACACGCACCACGACACGACGACCGGCAAGATTTTTGACTAACTGATCCTCCTCAGAACAAAGTAAACTGAATACATCTGCAACGCGCTGACGGGCATCTTACTATTTCGCACGATTATGATGGCTGACACCTACTGAAACAGATATTTTCCGCCCGCACGCCGCACAACCCCGCCTTCATCGATACGTCGGACTAACAGTGCAGATTTGAATCCGCCCGGCTTGTAACTATCCATCCTAAAAAAGTTTACCCATATTATTGAGAATTACATTTAAAAACTTTGTTAGGGTGCAACATTACAAATAAATAATGTTTTTGAGTAGCATCGGGGGGACTCGGTAGGGCACTGCCCCGTTGCCCTCCCTGTAGCAGCCGCCACTGCTCAAGCTGTTGAGATATGCGTTCGGTTGGTAAGGAAAGCATCGAAGTCAGTGAGTGGGACGGTAAATAGAAATGGCCTTTAACACAAATTAAAAACAAAACAAAAGAAGACTATAAGCTTAAGTTGCGCACGGCGTAATGCCCATACTCAGGCTAATAATCTAAGTGGTAGAAGTAGAAAAAAATTGTGGATAGTCTAATGATTGTAAAAAAACTTTTTGGCAGTATCCATTTTAAAAATTTCAACAAAATTAAAATAAGGGGTTCTGGGAAACACCACGGTATCTTGTTAAAAATCTAAAAAAAATTGTACCCAAAGACAACTATTCCGAAATCAAAAAAAAAGGTTTTTTTCGACCACCCCTTATGTATTTAGTCTTATTTGGGTTGATGGTTGAAAACTCGGAATTAAGTTTCCTATATGGTACACTAACGATCGCAAAAAAATATTTCTCACCCAAAGGAATCGGACCAAATAAGTTAATTTCTCGAGAAATATTATCTTAGAGATTCGGTTCAAAGGTCTTTTTTGTTTAAAATTTCCTATTAATGTGTCCTTTACATTCTATTCCTTTATGAAATAATTAAAATACTTAGGAGTAAGATTAAGGGCTTAAACTTTAAGGGAATTGTTTTCTTGATATTTATCAATTTTTACTGGGAATAAATAAAAATGTTCGTTTAAAATTAATTACCCTAATTTCTACAGGGTATCCCAAAATTACTCGACATAACAAACGGGATCAATTCCTTTTAAAAATCTAGGACTAAATTTCCTTAACTATTTTTTTCAAATTCGAAAAATTGCAGTTATTTTATTTAAGGACGCCAATGAGAGCGCAGTATTTTTGCTCTATCAGGCGAGCCCCTCTTTTTGACTTGCAACAACACACACCTAATTTGTTTTTGTTTACTTTTTCCCAACCTATTAGTTTAGGTTGAATTTGACATGGCGGCGCAGGAACCCCTTTGCTACTCTACTAGAATAAGCCTATTGCAACACAATAAATATAACAAAAATACGTCCGATAAAGCAGGAACACTGCGTTCGTATTGGTGTATCAGAGGATGTCAATTGAAATTAAACTGTAGTCTTAACTATTTTAAACATTTCTTTTTTCATTTAGTTCTTTTCTGTTATTAACGAAGAAACACTGTTTACAAGCCAACACAACGGATAAAATGTTCGTATTAGACACACAACGTTTACTTCGACCATTTTCAATTAATGCCACAATACAAGAAATATTAAGTAGTCAAACATAACTATATTTATCTTCGTGAATACCAAAGTGTTCCACTGCTATTGCTGATGAAACCAGTAGTGTCAGAAAATTAAGGAAAAAACGTCTTCTTAATTTTGCACCCTGTATATATCAGAATACAAATTTGTACTATAGCCAAAGATGTATTATCTTTGACTATAGCATCATAACTGAAAAATCAACCTAAAATTAAAAAATATTAAATTTAGATAAGAGCCTCGTAAGAAAATCAACATTAAAATTGTGGCCGATTTTTTTGCCTGTGATTGTATTTACTTATATACAAAACTTTTTATTTAAAAAGATGTCTCAATAAACAATAAAAAAATTAAAGTTCTTTGACTTTACTATATAATATTTTTTTATCATGTTTATTACGCCTTTCTGATTTTATTTATTTATCTCTTTGATTTTGTTATCACATTTATTTTTTATTAATGTGTGCGAGATATGGGTGTTCAAATAAGAACTGTCACATAGAATAATGTTAAAATTAACTTAGTTTAAAATTTTGTTATTTATTGTTTGATGATGAAACTAACACAATTAAATTTACAATTCTATAAAAGTATACATTGTCTATAAAGTTTAAGGTATTTCTAATTATCGACAATATTTTTATAGTTCAATTATTTCAAATTGAGTAGTCCAAGTAGTACACTCAGAAAAAAAATAGTAAAACTTCCAAACCCGCAACTGAAAAAATTTAGACGAAACCTTGCGATCTACTACAGTGCCCGCCTTGTAACTTGGCGAGAACGCCTTATGCGCATTGACGTAATTTAGTAAAGTTTAACAAGTGTTTACCAATGCAGTGGCGCGTATTCAATATTTACTTTTAAAAATTTGTTAAAAAGATTTTTGTCTATTTGTTAATTTTTCAATTTCATCGTATCGCAAAATTATTGATAAACTAAATTATAAAATATATTAAATTAAAAAAGTAAAGGTAAAAAAGTAGTATAGTCTTAAAAGGTACCTTATAATTATAAAAATATACATAATATACGTGTATTTTAACTGTATAACATACAATTTTTAAGTAAAAGTAACAAAGTAATAAAAAGGTTAAACCTATATTAACCTCAATTATATAAAACTAAAAAAAACATTTAAACGATATAAGTACGATCTTTGGTGCAACCCACCCTACTACCCCGAGCTCAACCCCATTAAACTCATGGGCAACAGTTTAGAACAATGTAGCTCAGAGAAATGTCATTTTTAAATTGGACGATAAAAAAAATTGGAAGAAGAATTTGGTAAAATAACGCAAGAGGATTGGATAAAAATATGTCACCACGCAATATCTATTTAAGATAAATATCGTGACCGAGGAATAGTGTTGGACCATTTTTAATTAATTTAGATTTAGATGATAGTTGCGATGACGACAGTTTTTTAGAAGAATATTATTAAATTAATATTTAAGAAATTGTATTAATGAAGGTTTTATTAATATCTGGATATTAAATAAAAAGTGTCTACAATATTAAAAATAAATATATTTTTTTAATAATTTCAAATTATTTTGTTTATTTCTTCCTTCATTTTCCTTCAAAATTTAATCTTAATCTTCGAAACCGCAAGTATCAAACAGTAAAAAATTTTGCCTGTGTAAATTTTTTAGTGTGAGGGTAAAAATATTAGAGTTGATTTGTAAGTGTAAAAGTTACACTACAAAATACACTAGGTAGCATTTAGTGCTTATTAACTTTATTAAACACATTTAAAGAATATGAACATTATTCAATGGTACATTCACACTATTTATTATTTAAATAAATCAAAAGGGTAGAAAAACTTAATGCGAGTGTTTATTACCCCTTAATGTGTCAAATAGTGAAAAAATTTACACTACAGTGCATGCCAATTTCTTTGTCTGTTTTGATATTACTAAGGCCCGTTATTTCCAATGCGAGTAAACTTTCGTGTTAGTAAACCTAGGATTAACTTAAATTCGAAGTTAACTTGAAGTTATGTTTTAATGGATTTTTCCAAAGATTTTGCTACCCGAGTTTAGTAACTCTAAATTAAGAAGTTTATCCGTGATTCTATTATTAATATATGGATTTTATTTTAAATTTTTGAACCATCTATGGACGGTCTGATAGAGTGAGTTTTTAAAGGTGTCTACGCAGTGCGTTGTTTATTGGGTTGGATTAGATAGTTTGAATGTTTGGGTAAAGTATTATCAGCTAAAATGAGTGAGATTGAGAAAAAAGAGTCCAGATCAAGACCAACCAATTTTAGAAAAACAGAAGATCAGTTGCTGCTTAATCTGGTTTTGAACGATAAGCACGAGCCCTGTTCGAGTATTACGAGATAAAAAGGCCTAATAAATAAGTATAAAAAAC